AGCAAGCTCCTCCGGAGATTACAAAGGGCACTTGCTGCCTGAGCTGGGAGGAGGCGGGTGCAGGCTGGGGGTGGGGCACTTGCGGAGCAGCCCTCTGCCTCAGGCAGGTGTGCCCCAGAGCAGATAAGCCACCTAGGACAAGTCTGGGTGTCTCTAAGCATAGTAGACTCTCTACCAGTATGTCCCTTACTGATGCCACAGGGAAATGTCCTAAGATAAGAGGGGAAGCTTTATTCTTCTCCTCTAAAGGGGACTCCTCTCCTCACACCCACATTCCTTGTGTGCAGGTGAAAGTCACCAGTGAGAGAACTGGGACATTTTGCAAAATAGAATGTGATCACTGCATCATTTAATATGAAGATTCGAAAAACTTTTCCTATGAAAAATCGATACTCTAAACACACCTGCAACCACACACACATACATTGTTTTTATGAGAACCAATTAATAAATGCTAATTCATTCAGGCATATCTACACTGAATTACTGTTTTCATTTAATTGCAGGGGAATTTTCCATTACTAAACTCTCCCTTGCTGATTTTTTTGGGGGCATTATTTATATATTTTTCAGTTTCACTAACAGTGAGGTTGGTATGTGATTTTTATCTGCTGTTTGTATGTCTTAAATTTCTTTTTCATCTAAAATGTTTCCTCATTCTTGCAGCTCCACGTAATCCAGGAGAAACGGCATTAAAAGCAGACAAGACTTTACACATAAATGATTGAAAAAGGCATGGGCTGCAATTAGCCTGACCAGGGTGTGTGTGTGTGTGTGTGTGTGTGTGTGTGTGTGTGTGTGTATGGCGGGGGGGGGGGGTGGGGTGGGGTGGGATAGGGGAAACCTTGTCTGATTGTACTGCTCTCACTCAGTCCAGGCGTGTGCTCTGGGCTAGTGTGGAAATACCCCTCTATGTCAGCGAGTCACAAGTCTATCCACAAAAAGATTGTGGGTACACAACTAGGAAAGAAGACCGAAGGGGCTTTAATAATAAAACACGCAAATCTGTTTATAAGCCGCCGCTCCCTCCTGCTCCTTTTCACGGACACAAATCAGGATTCTGACATCTAGACACCAGAGATGCAGACCAGCTGGCTCCCCAAGATGCTGCCTCTTTTTATGCCCAGGAGGTGGGGGGTTCCGGTGGTGGTTGGGGGTTACTTAGGGGCGGCAGAAGGAATCCTATTCAAAAGGATGTGCTCTGAGGTAGCATTTCGATTTTCTTAGTTAGAATAGCCATGGTTCCTCGCACCTGGCTGCCTTCGCTTCTCAAATAAGTTCTTTCATTTTTATTTTCCGGCCACCTTCTCCCAAGTCCTCTCCCCCGGTCTCCTTCCAGAGTCTTTCTTTCTTTTTCGAATTCTTTGCCTTTCTCAGTAACATATTCTGGAGGATGTGAATGATTAAGCTGTTTGCTCCGAGGTTTGGATGTGAAAAGGCATGTCACACCATAAGTAAAGTTTCACCTTTATACTCAACCCTATCAATAATTACAGAACAAGGAGGACCATTGGTAAATCCTTTTTGCAATTTGCTCTTACAAAAATAATGCCATTTGTTCAAAGCACCCTGAGTTCTGTTGATTTTACTTTTTATAAAATTTAGTTACAAAGCAGAGTAACTGCCAGCGTGAAGTCAGCACATAAAGGGATCGTGAGGACTGCATAGCCGCGGGAAACATAACCCCGCAAAAAGTGCACCCGTTAAAACTGGATATCGGAGACCTAATACAAAGTTCTGACACACTGTTATATTAGCAGATGCTCTCCTTTGACTAGAAATATCTCTTCATAATTAAAATTCCACGAGATTGACTTTTGTGCTGTGTTCCTTCCCTTCCTTTGTCCTCTTTAGCAAAACCAGGCAGAGTCCTTTTGGGTACAGACCGATAAATTTAATTAAGTTTCCTCCCACCCAAAAAAGGTCCCAAATAAATGCTTCCAATGACATCAAAAAAGTGTCAATTAGAAATAATTACTTCTTATCAATCAGTGGGGCAATTAAAGTGACAAAGCTTGAAAAGATACTTATCTTAAAACTAATTCGCAAGGTAGCTAAATTATCTCCTAATTAACTTGCATTGAAGAGGGTAGGAGGATGGACCGCCTTGAAACAAAGATGAATTGGGAACCCCAATACCTCTTTATGCTCTTCCAGAGAGCGTCCATCCCAGAAGGCCTTATTTTCATCCCAGGCTAGAAACTTGGGAAGAAAACGGACCCTCCCCAAATGCAATTCGCTCCTTTCTAGAACCCGGGGTTTCCCATCTCAAATCTGGGGGGTTAGAGGCATGCTCCTCCAGCATCTGGTCTCATTTCATCGCTTGAATATCCCGTTTTCAGGAGCCCTGCACACAAGGTTGCCAGAGTAGTTCCACATAACTTTTAATGATGGCCTGCTTGCTAAACTCTCTTCTTCAAAGGTATAGTATTGTTTGCCTTTTAATATTTATGTGGCACTTATCATTTCCCACGCGTCTTGAATATTTAAAAAAATATTTTTGCTTGAGAGGATCTTTGGTCCCCGATGCTACAAAATTCCCACTAGGTTTTAGGGAAGGTTCAGCCCATTGCTAACCAGTGCACACCAGAATAATTCGCTATCGCTCTCCACATCCCTTCAGCATAAAGCTGTGGAAAACATGTACATAGATATTTACAGAAAATAAGACCAGCCCAGAGGAAGCCGAGGGTGGGCTGGTGGCCCAGCGCAGAGGCGCACAGGACACGCAGGAACCTGCGGGAGCGCGCCAGTGTCGCTGGAAAGGGGAGCCCGCCTGGCTCCCCGCTCCAGGGGCTGCCGAGGCCTGAGCTCTGTTTTCCCCAGAGGAAACCTAGGTGGGAGTCTCCAGGTGAAACCCCTCAGAAATGGAAGTGCAGGAAGAAAGAAGCCACTAACACCTAACACAGAAGCCAGAAATAGGCGTACAAAACCAGAAATGTCAGAGAATGAACTGAGTGAGCTCCACAGACAAGGCAACAGCGTCCGGTAAACTGATCAGAAAGACAGGATCCTCAATGCTAAGTCAACAGAGGATTTATAAGAGAAGCAGGGGTGGCCCGAACCCTCTGAGCCGCATTTTAGGCAGTTCTCTTCTGTTACTATTGCATTAATAACGGAAGGGGAAAGTCTCCTTCTCCTTTCGCTCGGCTTTATTTCTTTGTTTTTGGTGTATGTGTGTGTGGGGGGAAGGGGGAGAAGTCTCTCTCGCCCACCCCCCAGAGGGAAAACGCCGGACCCTCCCCCGCCGGTGCTCCGCTCCCTCCCCAGACCGAGGGCGGGGAGTTGCTTCTAAGCTCTCGGGAATCCGCGCAGCATCTGGGCTCCTTGATGATTTACAATGAAAAAAAAACTGTGTCCTTTTTTCTTTCCTTTATTCCCATTCAGTCTAATGAGTGCTTCTAGAATGGAAATAAGTAGCGAAAACAAAATCAAGCCAGCCCACGGAATGGCAATGTTGCCTTATTTCCCAAAGGGTCTGGTCCGGAGCAGTAATTTCGGGGTCGAGAGCACCCACTCCTGCCGCCTCCAGAAAGGTCGGGGCAGAGTGGGGCGGGCGGGCTGGGTTTGGACTGGAGACTGACTCGGAGCCCAGCTGAAAAGGCTGGACCAGCCAGGGAAGAGATCCCGCACCCTGCGCTCTGGGCCTGGGAGCCGGTCCTGCTCTCGCGGGGCGACACCCAGGATTGTACCCGTTTTGGCTGAAGACTAAAGGGCCAAATACCTCTCTGGCCCCCGAAAGAGGCCCAGGAGCGCGCGTGGCGCCCGGGCGCCGCTGGGCAAGCGGTGCTGGGAAGACCCGCTGGGACCGGGCTCCCGGAAGGGTCTCGAGGTTTTGGACCTGCGCCCCAGGACTGACGGCAGTGTGGGGGTGGGGTCCTGCTGACTCGGTCTCCGCCAGGCAGCCAACCAGAATAAGAAACCTGCGCCCCCACCCCTAGTCTCCCCGAGCCCCACATCCCCGAGCCTGGGCCGGCTGATCGGAGGCTGCGCGCAGAGCGCTCGGCTAAATAGAGATCTCAGCCCCGCGCTGCGCGGACCCGACCTCCTTATTATAACAAATGTCCCGTTTGCCGAGCGGACTTCATATTCGCTGAGAATTCATCTGAAATATTGATTTCCTCTCACTTCGCCGGCCCAAATCGATAGCGCTGCGCCCTGGCCCCATAAATCGCCTTCCCGGGGGGCCAACCCGGCTCCATCCATCACCGCGGCCGGCCCAGGCCGCTGCTCGCACTTGCTGCGAGCCCGGCGGCCGTGCCCAGGGAGCCCACCAGCCCGATCCTAGGGCACCTGCCCAGCAGAGACCCTCATCCCTCACTCCGCCCCGGCCTACCTCGGCCCAGGAGAAGGAGAGAGCAGGTGCGGAGGCTATGGACCCTGAGCGCCTTTGAAGGCCTTAAGCCCGGCGCTATCCGGGAAAAGGTTCCCTCCGCGGGAGCTCAGTCCCAGAAGCCCAGGCGCCCCGCGCGCCCGCTGCTCCCCTCCTGCCCCATGCTCGGCCAGGAGTCTGCACCCCGTGCTCACTCAGGGTCCCTAGACCCCCAAACACGGCCTCCTTTCAGAAGGGCTAGATAGGTGTGCTGGCTCGCAGTCGCGCCCCGGGATCCAAGAGAGCTGCGCGCATCCAGACAAGCGCTTGGTGGTCGGGACAAGGGAACTGCAAGTCCAGCAGTGCACGGGCGGCCCACCCTCACCGCCATGCCAGCCAGGGTGGGTGCGAGGAACACCTCTCCGACCCGCGGAGAGCTCTTCACCCCTCCGTGTGGCCCGCAGAAACCCAAGCCTGCACTGGCAGCACCGCGGGGTGAGGGGACCTCAGAGCTGGAGAGAGCGGCGAGGCGGCCGCCGTGGAGAGCCAGGCCCCAAGGCACCCCTTGCTTGTCCTCAGGAAGGGGGGTCCCGCGAGTCCGGCGCTCACGCCCCCAGCCCCGCTGCCCCCAGCGCACTCAGGGACGCAAGGCTATCCAGGGCTGGGGTCCGGCCACGCGCGTCCTTACCGGATCGGATGGAGTTGTGAGGCATCCTGAGGATCACTCGTGGCCCGTGCGAGGCTCAGGGAGTCCTCAGGCAGGTCCCTGCCGCATCCGCGCCGCTGCCCTACAGGCCCAAGGGAAAGGGCGTGAGAGCGCGTCTGCCGCCTTAGTCCTTCACCCAGGCCCTGTCCCTCTGACTTTCGCTTCGTGACAGGAGTCTGAGGGTTTAGTAAAGTGTGGCCAAGCTCAGCCTGGCCTAGCAAGCACATGTGGGACGGGAGGGTCCGGGATAGGGGGTCTGCCAACAAGCTCCCAACTCGAGCCTGAGGGTCCCCCTTCCTCTGCCTCCCCAACCCCATCCAGTTTAACTTGGGAGGAAAAACGCTTCTTGGGACCCTCTCCCCTCCCCAGTCATCCTTCTCCGCAGGAAGCTTTCGGTGCAGTTTACCTGGCCTGCGGCCTCTGGCCCTCAGTGCCCTGTCCGCTGCTGCGAGGGTGCCCTGTGCCTGCGTCTCTCCTTGGTCCCAAGTTTGTTCCCATCCACCAGGCATCGCTACCGGTTTTATCCCGCCAGGGCCCTGAGACAAGGGTCTGGAGAGGCTCGCAGCCCGCGGATTGGCTGGCTGGGTGCAGGGGGGTGCGGGAAGGGGAGGATTTTGCAAGGGGGACATGGCTGAGTGGACTCAGGAGTTAGAAACATTCTCTGGAGCTTCTGTTTCCAGCAGAGAGGAGAGGGAGGCAGCTGAGCCCTACCTCAGCAGGCCTGGAGACATTCAAGGAGTGCCATGGAGACCTCAGGCCTGGAGGTGAGGGTCTCTGGGTCCTCCCAGGTCACTGGCCACCAGAAGTGAGAGACACAGCTGCTGGGCAATAACCTCTCACTCCTGGTCTGCTCATGGGCAAGCAGCCTTCTTGTGCAGGAGGAACTTGTTTATATGCTGTCTTCTCAGCACTGGTGTGGGCCTCTTCCAGGACAGAACCCGGAATAGCCCCTAAGCCCATGCCCTCCTCACCACCAGACAGGGTCCTCACCCTCACACTACTAAGTTAATGACAATGGTTACAAAACCCATTTCACAGGCTCTCTCTCTCCCCCAACACATACACACACACACACACACACACACACACACACACACACACACACACTCATCACCAGTTTCTTGCTCCTGGAGGATTTTGAACTTGGGAGAAGAGTCCACAGGCTTAGTGCTGAGAGCCTAGATCTCACCATGGGAGGGTGTTAGAAAGGGACAGGACAGAGCCCACCTGTGCTCTTGTCTGCAGAGGTCAGCAGCCTTGGGAAGTGAGGGCCTGGGTGGGGGACTGAGGAGTCTTAGTGTGGCAAAAGTGGGGTACAGGCTACACTGTGGGGTGTGGGGCAAGGCCTGGATGCTTCTTCAATCTCAGACCAGGCTCTGGGACTCAGGGTAACAGCCCAGAGGACAATGTGCTCCCGGGTCCCCCGGGGCTGTGCTGCCTGGGGAGGCTCTGGAACAGAGGGTGGAGTTGCTGGGTGAAAGAGCAGCGAAAGGGCAGAGGAGACGGTGTATTCAGGGTGTATGTGTGTGGGGGACAGAAAGGGAGAGAGAGAATTCACAATATTTTTCTTAATTAAAAAAATAGTTCTATTTTCCAGGCTAACCCACTTCCTCCTCCCTTCTTGGTTCTCAGTTTATCAAAAATTAATTATTTTGTGAAAGAATATATATGATCTCAAACTGATCCTTCCCATTTCTTAATGTCTCTAAACAAAAACAGTAGTTGCTTTATGGTTTTAAAAGTTCCTCTAAAATTGTAGTTTCCAGATGTCTGGACACTCCACTTCTCCGCTCAGAGCCTGGAGAGATGCTCGCTCGTAGGGTGTTGAGATGGAAATGGGCCTCACCATAGGTCCCACCACCACTGGCAATTCCTCCCTACTCTTCCTCCTCCCCTCCCCCCCGCCACTTCTAGGGGAGCCTGAAAGCCACCAAGAGGCTCCCCTCCCACCCATGAGGCTGTGCTCCAGGGTGAGTCTGGCAAGCCCTCATCCCTACAGCTATGCAGCCCTCAGAAGGACCACCCAACTGCGGGGCTGAGAGGTACCAGCGGCCATGGAACTCAGGCACCGCCTATGCTGTTCTCTGGATCAACAAAACAAACACTTCTGACAAAAGTTGTCAAAGGACAAAAACCACTGGTAAGTCATCAAAATGTCCTTGTGTCATCTGTGAGGGGACAGGAGGCCACTCTGCAGAGAAGTTCTGGAGCCCACAGGCCGCAGGCAGGAGGGACTGAGCCTGCCTCCTGCTCTGGCCCTGCTTTCTGATGCCCATGGGAAGCAGGCCAGGGGCCTTGCCATTTCCCACTTCTCCTCAGCCAAGGCCAAGGAAATGGTTTAATAGCATCTCGACTCATTGAGACCAGCCTCTTTCTCTGCAAAATGAAGAGGTTGATATATATATATATATATATATATATATATATATATATATATATATATATATTTTTTTTTTTTTTTTAATTTCTTTTATCACAGTTTTTTGTCAGACTTTTAAAAATCCATGATTCTCTTAGTTAAGAATGAAAATCCCAAATTTTTCTTCGATGGTTCCTCAAATTTCTAACTAATTTTAGCATCATGAGTGAGAGACTCTCGGATCAATGGGAAATTCAGAACCAACACCTTATCCCCAGCGCTTCTTTTCAGATTCAGTGCCTGCAGCAACCTGGCAACCTGTGGTTTAAGCCTCGTTATAATTTTTTTTTTTTAAACTCAGGAAAGATGATTTAGTTGCCAATTTGAAAATATATAGAGGAGAGAAAGTAACTCTGACTTGTCTTTATGGTTTTGACAGATCTGGCCACAGGCCTGAGTGTTTCATTGTGGATATGAAGATTCTTTCAGGTTTAACATTCAAAGAGCTTACATCCACCCCAGGCAACTGCCTACATCCAGGTCCAGTGAGTATTCTGTGGTTTTTAAAGTTCAGGTTGATCCGCTGAGCCTTCCCAAGAAGGTCTTTTTCCCGCGGGACCCAGCTGAAATCCTCTGAGCTGGTGGCACAGCTTGGCAGGGCGCTTGTTCCCTGGATGAGGGTTTTGGGGGCTAGACCACTGTCCCCGGCAAACCAGGATGAGGTGGCCATCTAGCTGATGGGAAGCTGATGGTTTGGGGGCCAGTCATTGTGCAGCTGGAATCCTACCTCCTGGCCTACCTGCTTGGCCCTGGAATTCCCCGTGGTCCATGGGCCTCTCCCTCTGCCCATGTACTCCGGGAAAGGCCAGCCTTGGGGGAAGGTTTTTGTCCCCCAAGAACCCTCCTTGGCTACCTGCCCTCCACTGTGTGATAAATAACTCTTGGGACTCATGTACACCCTTTGTTCTGCCCTGGCTCCCTGGGATGGGCCCTTCCTTTCTCTGAGCCTCGGTTTCCTCTTCTTTGGGGTGTGAGTGCAGTTGGGGAGTAGGGCGGGGGGGGGGCGGGGAGAGGCCCTGTCCAGGCTTTGTTGTGAGGTGAATAGAGTTATGGATGTGAATGCCCTTTGAAAGCCGCAGCTCTGCACAGAGTTAATTATTATTAGACAACAAAGGCAGGGCAGCACTTCCAGAGGGCAGAGTGGAAACTGCTCTAAAATTTTGCTGTAGAAGTCGGTTCCTTTAATCCTTTCCCCAAAGCACTGTGAGTTTCAAACAGCCACCTGAGCCCTGAGGTGATGGACAGGTGATTTCCTGTTGGCAGGAAAGGGCCGGGAGTGCGCTGTGGGTGGAGGTGGCTGTGGGCTGCATGGGGGCTGGGGTGTCAGTGAGGGGACCCGGAAGGAGGGAGCACCGCCAAAGGCAGAGGAGGCCCCAGGTGGGCAGAGCCTCCAGCCTGGATGACTCCACGTTTGCAGAGGGCAGCAGTGTTCAGGGTCTCTCCTCCCCTCAGACTTGCCCAAGGCTGCCAGGGCCACACAGCAGGGTACCCTGTCCCCACACCTCGGGACATGGCCAGGGCAGGCCCTGAGGCCTCAGAGTGGTTGTGCCAGACAATCAATCATTAATTGTCTTGTGCTCCTCCCCTCCCCCCCTCAGGCTTTCAAAACCCAGAAATAGAAATGCAGGTCCTGGCAGGAGAAAGGAAAGGGCCACCGGTTGTGGAAAGCACTTTGGAAAAAGCCACCGGTGGCAGAGGTCCAGTGGTGTCAGGTTGGAAAGGTGTTCTGAGCACATCTCTCCGGGGCTCCTCGCCCCCGGCAGCCCCTGGGCAGGCGGCTGCCACCAGTCTGCTGGGGAGGTTGCTGCCTGCAGGCTGCGGAGGAGCCTCACTGGGGAGAGAGAGGCAAGGGCCCGTGTAGAGGGGATAACACGGGTCAGTTTTTTTCTGGTAATAGTCGTTTTTTTAAAACGTTATAAAGACCTAGCCTCGTGTCTAAGTTGGTTGGAGCCAACAAATGTTGCGGGTTCAATTTCTGGTCAGGGCACAAACTTAAGCTGTGGGTTCGATCCCCAGTTTGGGTTCGCAGAGGAGGCAAACCACTTAATGTTTCCCTTTCTCCTTCTCTCGTTCTAAAAATCAATAAACAGCCAAAACTGGTTTGGCTTCGTGGTAGAGCGTCGGTGTGCGGACTGAAAGGTCCCAGGTTCGATTCCCGTCAGGGGCATGTACGTTGGTTGCTGGCACATCCCTGGTAGGGGGTGTGCAAGAGGCAGCTGGTTGATGTTTCTCTCATCGATGTTTCTGGCTCTCTATCCCTCTCCCTTCCTCTCTGTAAAAAATCAATAAAATATATTTAAAAATCAATAAACAGGAGAGGATCTTTAAAAATTATAAGCAATGAGCGAGGCCCTTTTGCGACCTGTGTTGCAGTTGGGAAGACAAAACCCCAGGAAAGTCAGCGCCGTGTTCCAGGTTCTTAGCCGTGGGCGGATGACACAAGGTCAGGGAGCACTGGTGGCCCAGGCCGTCCCTAAAATGATGGGAATTCTGCTCTCCCAGCCTAATTACTCCCCCTTCCCCCACAGCACCCACACTCCTCCCTTCAGGAGGAAGGTTCTGGAACCCAGGGAGTGGCCAGGAGTGAG